AAAAATCAATAACGCCTTGTATCTCTGCATGACACATTGTGTACCTAAGGACTTGGTGGCAGTGGCTACAATATATAGGAACCGCAATTTGGTGATTTATAATTTCCTCCATAGTCACCCCTATAATATAGGCATCAGATGAAAGGGCTTAAGAGAAATACTATAAGCAAAATCTCATTTCATATCAAATACTTCGACCGCGGTAAGATGGCGTTTACAATTTCTGTAGTTACCCCTATGATATGGTTATCGTCTGAAAGGGGTTGATGAGGGAGATACAGTAAACAGCGTGATATCATCTAGATCCAATATGGCGGCCGCCGAAAAATATCGATGTATATTTTCCATAGTCAGCCCCATATTATGGATATCAAATGAAAGGGATTGATGAAAGAAAACTAATAAGCAAAGTGACGTCATTCTAATCCAATTTCGCGGACGTTTAATATGACAATTGACTGCAGTATTATTATGACATAGAGATGATCTGATGATGAATCCAAGAAGTGGCCATGGGAACCCATCGAATAAAGCCTCGCTTGAATCCTAATGATATGTACTCTAGTCCAACGGTCTGATGATTAAGTTATTCTACTATTGTATAAAAATACTCATCTATAATAACTATATTAAAATTCAATTTATTACATTAGTTCGCTAAGATGCAGGTTCAATCAATTGAGCAAGAATATTTAATAGATATAATTACGTCTTCCGCATTTACAAGAATTTGTTATATTTTTTATATTTGAAGACACGAGTGCATAAAGGTGTTACGTAACAAAATCATTGTATGGAGAAAATTGACTTTAAACATTTTTTGTTCGGACTTTTTACTTTATTGTCATTTTAAATATTTAGTTTAATTAGTGTCAATTTCACCAACATTAATATTTGACGGTCAGTTGGACCAATAGGAAAAGGCCTTATCAAAATGTAATTTGACGGAAGATGTCAAAAATCTCTGAATATCAGTGATTTCTATTGAAATGATGAATAAAGTCATGAAAAAATGGTTGCCTTATAAATAAGGGTACATTATAGATGTAATGTCTTTGTGCTTTAGAATTAGGATAACTTTCATAGAATTTCAAATTTTTATCATTGCAGAAAAATGGACCAATGAAAATGGGTGAAATAATAGGTCGATTTTCTAGCTATTATATATATTTGGTAGAATGTTTTCACTGTTTTTGACGACTGTTCATGCATGGCAATCTAGTTTTGTCTGTATATCATTGTACATAATACGTACCTGTAGAAATGTACCGATTTTTGTTATTTTGCAACAAAAAGGATATAAAACGTATTCCAACTGGTTCATCATCTTTTGTTACATCAAAAACAATTTTTTTCAATTTATGATCTAGAAATCCACACCAAATGTAAACAAACAGCACATTCTGCATTTCTGGGTCCTAAAACATCCATATTTGTAAAGGTATCTCCATTCGCCTATTATTCATCGTCTAGATATTATCAGTCAGAATCAAAAATACCTATTTATGAAAATATATCTCCAAACATTGTTATATTTTCTTATTATTTCTATTATTATAACACGTCTGGGATATCAATCGCTTTTAAAGTGATCTGCACATCTGCAGTGTTGCCGAAGCGGCAAAATCAAAGACCTTTGAGTCATGAAAACGTCTGTTATTGTATTGGGCGCGCACACACGTTTTTTTTAGGGCATTGTTCTATATTACAACTTCTACAATGTGAATACAGGTCGCTCTTTCAAAGTACTTTGCAGCCATTCTGGAAACTCCTTTTTCGATTTTTGCTTATAGGATTGTGAATATTTTTCTGTTTTACCCCTGAACTCATGAAGTCACCTCACATTTTAATTAAATTTATTTATTTTGAAAACAGACAAGTTTCGGTTTCTTTATTGCTTGTCCGGTGATGAGGTAATGACGGTAATCTACCAGTCTGTACCTTTTGTATGCACAAAAATCAATTCAGGGCAAGCGGAGTAAGGGATGTGCCCGACTGCCTGAGTGTGTATGCATATGTATGATGGATATGGGGCATAAAACTATGAAGACTACATAAAATTAACTTTTAGCGTTATTTTTGGTGACAGCTCTTTTTCGGCAAGTATAGAAATATTTAAATTATTTTGAAAAATCGTGGAGAATGATGTTATCGGTAAATATTCTCTTTTCGGTAGAAATACCGAAAAATCCGGTTCAAGTTCATGCACAGACAATCTGAAATTTGCAATATGAATTTATATTCTATATTGTATGCATATCCGTTCATATTCGTCAATATTTCATTTTAAGCTTTTATTTGTCATAAGATTTTAGCAGAATGTAAGATAGTAAAGGCAACACCGCACCCTGCAGCCGTGTTGACAAGAACGACAAGCTGTCAAGATTAGGAATGTTTAGATCCACGAAAAGTATCGTTATGTATCGATTCTTATCGTTTTAGGAAGTATCGATACTCTAAAATATTGGAATAAACTTATCGATATCCAGCGGAAGGAAACAAAGAAGAAAAGTAATCTGAAGTTAGTCACTCTTTCTGACACAGTCCGGATCGAAAGATGACGATACTCGTGAAATGTATCGATACTTCTAAATATAGGATCGTATCGAACATCCCTACTGTCAAGATATATAACCCGAGGTACCGAATAATTTTAAATTTTTATTTGCATTTTGTCAAGTGTTGTGCAACGATTTTGGGAAAAATTCCACGTATAGTCTTATAAAGCATAGTAGAGTATATTTCAACAGTTGGCGGAGCTTACTCCGCTGGGACCAAGGGTTGACGGTAGGCTTGAGACATACGACTCTTTTCTCTGACCTCGCTCATGTCGTTCATCTCTCTTCAGTTCGTTCGGAGTCGTTCATTTGCACGATACCGCCCTCGAAGCTGTCGAGAGTATTGTGTTGCCTATAGTAAAACAACTCACTGAGTCAGAGAATATACATCACTACTATGAAAATGAAATATGAAGGGTTAGGTTTGCCGATGTTATTGTATTTAATTTAAGTAATAATATTTTTGGTTGAAATTGAAAGTAACGAAAAGAAGTGATATGCGGTACGGTTTTGAGAAATTACCGAATTCTGAATCAAAATGCAATTTTTGCTCTCAAATTCCCTCATTTCAACGTATAATTTACTGATACAAAACAACCGGCACGGGTATCACGAATCTTGAAAAGTGACATTATGGTGATTTTTTTACATTATGCTGTTTTTTTTTTGACATTATGTAGGTTTTTCTACAAGATATTAACTTAGCACTTCGATGTAGGTATTGCCTAAACGACATGAGGCTTGTTATCAACCTTTGGCTCTGATGTGATGTAAAATCTTCTCTTTTCTTATCCATTCTGGAAATTAGATATACAAATTTGCTGGATTTCAAAAATGAGAGATATAAGAAATAATTATATTCACTGTACGTTGTCGAATTACAAGCCATATACATGTTAACAGTAATTACACACAACGCGGGCGCGGTGGTGATTTCCCCTAATTCTCGTCAGTTTTTCGTAATTTATTACTTTGAACATAACCTCTCTTCAGAAAGCACAACATAAAAATAACCCGTCGGGCACAGCCGATAGATATACTTCATTGGCAGCATATTCATCAATGATTTTCTCACACAGCAAATATCACTGATTTTATACACATACACACCAATACACATAATCATCCAGATGCGATCTTGCTATTCAACCAACTTTCTTCTCAGAGATAAAAAGTACAGACAAGGACCATTTGGTCTCACAAAACATATGCAACCAATAATGCGTGTAGTTTAGTTGAGTGATTCCTCCTTAGATGGACGTTCACAACGATCCTAGTGAGCAACCGTGGAATGACTGTTTGCGCCCTAAAAACTACCTAGTTTGTAAGATGACATCTTATAGGTTTTTTTTGACGTTTTATAGGTTTTTTACATGATACCCATGCGGGTTCCCTAGATAGTGTCCACGTTGTCAGTTCGCAGTTCAGGTGCTGCATACTGCAGGCACGCTTTGCACAATTGAACGAGTCATATGTAACAAAAGAATCGTTCAATCATCGCTCACTTAGATGAGTCGTTCATTTTGAACGACTCGTTCGCGAACGACACATGACTAGTTGACGGATCCCACACATGTGTCACTCGTTGGGGAGTTTTGAAATGTAATAATCAGAAGTTATTCAAATAATGTCTAATATAAATATAACCTAGAATGTGTACTCAGTGAAACAAGCAAATTATTGCAAATTCTATTTTTTTTGCAGTTTTAAGTTTGCCGGTAGCTTTACGACATATATTTGAGTATTTCTTAATCGCTGTAGATATAGTGTGGATGTTCCTGAACAATCAAAAAAATTTGACTATGGATGTATGGATATCAAATATTATGAATGGTTTTGTGGGAATATCAATCCACAGTGCTATAATGCTACTGATGAATGGCAACTAAATGAATGAATGTTTGGAAACGAACAATATCTATGAAATTTTTGGTAGAGCCTGTCATCAAGCAGGTGCTTATAGGAAAAGAACACACGGTAGGTGTCAGGAATCAGTAAAATCGCATATCAATTGAAGAAAATAATATAAACATGAATAAACAATCGACAATATTAAATAAAAACATGAATTTTATTAAAAAATCGAACACTTTTTTAAATTTTGACTAAATTACATGTAATTTCTTAATATTCAATAAGCTGTTGATGTTTCAATGATAAGCTGTCATCTCATACTTTGACAGTATTTGGGTTCCTAAAATTTGTTGATTGGAACTTGAAGCTCATTCGCTGTATTTGACAGACTGTTACCCTATCGGTGGAGAATAACGGACTGTTGATTTGACAATCCTGGAGAAATCCACCCTTATGCGCGGATTACACGAGGCTAGTTTTTCAAGCTAGGATAGCAAGCTAGTGCTTTTAAACTAGCAAGCTTGTAGTACTAGCTTCATGTATACAGAACTAGCTTCACGTATAGGCGAGTAAGCTAGTCAGGAAGACAGTAAGCCAGCGTCTAAAGCTGGACAGTTTTAATAGCATGAAGTTCTATTCTGTTAAGCTAGCAGCGTCCCCCTCCACTGATTTTACTATCCTGGCTTGTGTACCACCCTCGTCTGGCCGGCAAAGCTAGTGTTTTCCAACGGCAAGTGCGTAGTGTCGACCTGTTTTACTTTTTCAAGGAGATAACCACGTGCTTCTGAAACAATTATTAACATGCCAAAATTAAGTGCCAAGATTAATAAGTTTGTACAAATGTATGGCGAGGAAGAATGTCTGTGGAACGCCACTATTCCATCATATAAAGATAAGTCTATTTGTGATTCAGCACTACAAAAAATAAGTGGCAAATTATTAGAACTTGGCTTAGAAATGTCTATCAAAGACATAAAAATGAAGATAAAAAATTTACGAACAACTTACCGTCAGAAACTGTCCAAAATTGAAAAATCAACTAGGTCTGGAGCAGGTTCTAAGGACGAGTATAAGTCAAAATTAAATTGGTTCGACGAAATGCACAGTTTTATTAAATGTGTACCTATGAAAAGGAAAACAACGGTAAGTAGAATTGCATTTTTTATTTATTTATTTATAATACAAAGAAAAGTGGTGTCAAAACACAGGGAAATTTACATAAATATATAGTTAAGAAATCATTTTTAATTGCCAAGGCACCGCACCATCATTGTTAAAGTAGGTTTTAAAGGCGTCTCTTCTCGCCATTGCTGACATCGAAGAATGATTACTCCCTTGTTGACATAACCTCTTAAGTCCTGCAGTTTCTTTTCTCCAAGAGCCATAGGAGATGGTTCCTGCATCAATATCTTCCCGGTCGACATCACTGCTGATTAAATAATTTCGATTTTCTTATCTCAACCAATTATGTAAAGCGCATGCTGCTAATACAATTTTGTCTACTGTTTCTATATTAGTTGCAATTGGTTTTTGGAATATACGAAATCGGCTTACCAATATACCAAAGGCATTTTCCACTATTTGTCTCGCTCTGGAGAGTCGGTAGTTATAAACTAAAAGATTATTCTCCAGTTTTTTATATATGGAGCAATTTTTAAATACACTTCCATCTGATGCCATTCCACAAGCCGCGACATCAACATAACGAAAGCAATAGTCATCATCTACTAACGCCATAAGAACAATACTGAACACTTTTTTATAATTGAAGTACATACTTCCAATATTACCAGGAGCGATAATATGCATATGTTTTCCATCAATGGCACCACAGCATAAAAGAAAGTTCCATTTCTTTCTAAATCCATTTTCTATTTTCGCCCATTCTTCGGCATTATTTGGTATCTGCAAAAAATAATAATATGTACCTATTTATTATAATTATTACTAAAGTGCTTTTTTTGTTTTAGGACAGCCAAGAATCAGCAATAGATGAAGAGCAAGATAACAACCAAATGAGCCAAGCCAACATTGAAAATAGCAAAGAAAATAATATTGACATCAGCAATGACAATAGTGATAACAGTGAAGACGTTGCAAATTCTGAAAATTTTTCACCACGGCCATCTACATCTGCGACAGGTAATATACCATAACGCAACGAGTCTGCGACACCAACTGCAAAAACTAATAGTGAATCAAACTATAAAATGTCAGCTCAAACTCCAAAAAAGAGAAAAATTGCGGAAGTGACATCATTGGTTAGGGAAATAAAGTCGATAAAGGATGATTTAAATAGTACATCTACGGATGAGCATTCTACACCACAACAAAATGAGCATGATATTTTTGGAACTTTTGAGAGTAGCCAACTGAAAATGTTATCTACTGCACGAGCTATTATGGCTCGGGACAAAATCAATGCTCTATTATCTCAGTTTCGCATGGAAGATCTGAACTGCGTAAACACCACATTTACATGCAAGACGCCTAGTAGTCATTGCTCTTCAGATTCACACACAACAATTAATACTGTACAATTGGCACTTACATCAGGAGAGTCGGTTTTGTCAAGAATTACAGAAAATGAAGATAATTATCAACGACAAAATCCAATCGACGAGATTAATTTAGATTTTTTACGCCAGGACAATGAGAATCCTATTGATATAGCATTCCGCAATGCATATTTTTTATATTCTTATGTGTAATTTTGTGATAAATAAAAATATAAAGTTATTATTAGTACTAACCTTTATGTTTTCTTTTAATGCCTTGAAGATTTCTTCACATACCTCTGGTATGAATTTAGATAAGGAAAACCTTGAAACCCGATAAAAGTGACTCAGTCTTCTGTAACTGATGCCGGAAGAAAGAAAATCTAATGTGATCTCCAATTTTACTTTTGCTGGTAAGGCCTCTCTCATAATAGTATGCTGTCGTTGAATTTTTGACATCACAAGACTCAACAGAATATCAAACATATCTGGCATCATTCGTAGAATACTGATATACTCTTTTACGCCTTCATTGCGAAGTTCTTCTAACACCAGTGCAGTTCATTCCTTTTTAAAATCCATGGTCTTGTCCAAACGCGTTTTTCCAATAAAGCTTCTGTTAATTCATCCAATGCAATTTGGCACAGTTTCCGAAGTAGCGAGTGTGGTTATCAGTTTGGTTATAAGATCCGTGACGTCATGAATCAGCTGTTATATGTCACAGTTATCACCGCAAAATTGTGGTATTTACCCAACTCATGAGTAGTTTTATATTTCTGGTTATTATTTGAAATGTGACAAGTTAGAATTTTACCGGGTATTGGATATTGTTATTGTACTTCAGCTTCATTTTTGGGAAACTTGATACAGGCTGACTTAAGTGTTAGCATAAAGTGGAGCACCTTATTAGTTATACTCATTACTGTTGTTGGGAACACTTTCAATCTAGTTCCTATGTTTATCAAAGTATCCTGTGTAGCCATATACCACAAGAATATTGAAATATGGCCATTTAACTCACTGGATGATGTCCACCTGTATACGGTTTTGCTAATATCTTTTTTCATCATTTCTGCTAAATCAATAAATGTTTTCTTTGGCATGCGGAAAACTTTTGTGAATTGAAAGTTATCATAGCTACAAAACCATGGTTCCATCACTCAAAAAATTTTTATGAAAAAAAAACATTTCTCCCATGAATATTATGAAAGGTTTCTTATTTATACTTTCCATACACCGTTGTAGACAAAAAAGCACCAATTATTAAGTGATAATATACGCACTTTCCTAAAATAAACAACTTGCAACAAAACCGCGGTTAAAACCAACGCGATTCGTGTAACTGACGTCATCAACCCGTGTGTCATCTTGAACCATATTATAACCGTGGTACATAACACAGAAATTTTGGTTATTCGCTTGGATTTGATTATGAATTGAATCGTTTTTACGTTAGCTCGACTGACAGACTGGAATATCTACTCTGTTTCTGTACATATATTTTTTGTGGTATTGTTGCATAAAGCAGTTTGTTCACGAACCAGTTCCTAGAACTGAATGCAACTTAATGCAAACAACTAGAAAGCACATCACTATTTCAAGTAATCCAAGGAGGGACAAATTGTCATTTCATCGCACTAGTGACGGGAGAATCGAAAGCCTGAAATTCGCTTTGTTTCTGTGGCTTAGAGATATGGTGTTCTGTGGCTCAGAGATATGGTGTTTTCTTTGGATAAAACTAGCGCAGTTTTTGTGTTTAAAATACTCTACCTTAGTTAATACCGTTGATCCTAAATTTGTTTCCAAAACAGCATTAAACAACTCTCATGTCGTGTCGCATGCTGTAATCTGTCAATGAAGCATATTTTTCGTTTCTTTGTCCTTTTCCGTGTTACTATGATGAATCATCGAAAAGAATAATAGTAAACCACTAGCAAATAGCACGGCTGCATTCAAAGATGGAAAACGAGGCAGACAGTAGACAACACCAGCCCGAGTTTCTTCAAGTTCTGTATGTTCCTATACTGAGTGAAACACTAGTTCAAAATGCGCACCAAAAAAACATGAATATATAAATTGGTTCTGTTATAAGCATTTGGAATATGCACCAGTCCAACACTGGATTCACTGAAAGAAAACGCGATTGAATAGCTTGGTAATATGTAACAGTTTAGACCACACAAGGCTGATTTCAGTAGCTTCTATTTTGGCTACTTTCTCAGTTATAATCTCATCTCACTTCAAGTTGCCTCACATGTCAGACAATTTCCACTTTCCCCCGCGCCCCTGGTTCTCGATACTTGCTTCCGAAAGATTTTTGACTCGCTTGACTGTTGGCTACGTTTATATATTTTCTGGAGATTTTCAAATCTATCAAAGATTTTTCAGACCTTTGGATGTTCTAGGAATTCATCGATATCAATAAAACATTTTCATACAACACTTAAACCTGATTTCGACAGATGTTTCATGCGTGTCAGATGGAATTCTTATTTGACTGTTCCTTAGTTCCTTCTGGTACCTAAGAAAAATCATTTTCCCCACTTGCAGTGTGCTGAGTCATTCAGTTATTTTCGTGCACCGATAAGTATGAATAAAATGTCCCATCACTATCCGAGTCGCGACTGAGTCACGTGACATCTGGACAAAACTACATTGTTGCCAGACTTAGCGATTTTCTGTATTTTTTCTCCTCTTTTCCGCTGGCTATTTCCAGCATTTTTTTGCTACATTGGTAATTCCAAGTCCGCTTTTTTTACACTTAAAGCCTGTTCAAGTGCAACTAGTGCAACTAGTGATTCTGCTACGCTATCTCCCCAGCCAACATACAATGGAAGTAGGAAGCTTTTACTGTAGTAATTTTTTGTGTACCGAAGCAGCCGGGTCTGTATGGCAGGCACATCGCGCGTCTGCATCATGGAAGAGAACTCCGAGGAGCAAAGCCCGTTGGTGTAGCGGTAGAAGAGAACTTGATCGCCGACGGCCGCCGGTGTGAAAGAGTCCCGATACGGTTTGTTAGAGAAGAGTCATCGATCAGTCGGATAGCCCTTCTCTGGACAACATCGAGCATAGGTAATATAGTCGGGCGGCGGCACCCCAAACGTGTGAGCAATACTCGAGGCTAGGCCTTTTCTAGGCCTTGTATAGAGTGAGAAGGTCATGCGGAAGTACTTCTTAGCCCGAAACAAATAGCCTAGCTTTTTCCCAGCAGCTGCCGCTACTGAGAAGATGTGTTCGTGCCAGATCAAATCCTCGGTGATCTGGACTACGACCAGCCTAAATGAACGGCTCTTTGGCAGAACCCGGCCATCCATCGGAATCGTTAGGACGCTTTTTGTTCGTCACGGTACAGTACTGTGTTTTGGAAGCATTACACTATACCAGATTGTTGTGTCCCCAAGCAGTGATAACCTCCTGGTCTCTCGTCAGAGAGGTAGTCGTCGCTAATCTTCTTTTTTCCAGCTCAGCAGCAGAGATCGCCTTGTCACTCTGAATTCCTGCATGTAGAGTGCTGTCATCAGTTGTGGATTGGATTCATCGTACAAGAAAGGAGGTCGTTGATATGTAAGAGAAACAGTGTCGGAGCCAAGACCGATCCCTGGGGAACACCCGCGTTGACGTTGTGGGATGAAGAGGAGAACCCGTCAATTACGACGGATATCTTGCGGCCAGAGAGAAAGTCAGCCACCCATCTGCAAAGCCTCTCTGGGAGGTCATGGGATGGAAATTTGGATAAGAGGGCAGCGTGCCACAGCTGATTGAACGCTTTCGTGATATCAAGACCAAAAACATAAGCCTCACCGTAATACTGGATTAGCTTACTTTACAATTTCGTGACGTAAGCTAGGAGGTCCCCTGTGGATCGTTGGTGTCGGAAACCATACTGCCTGTTGCTACTCAAGTCGAGACGTTCGAGGTAGTCCAGAAACTCACGATTTATGCACCTCTCATCACCTTACTTATAACAGAAAGCAGGGCTATAGGCCTGTAGTTGTAAGGGTCGGGGAACACCCGCGTTGACGTTGTGGGATGAAGAGGAGAACCCGTCAATTACGACGGATATCTTGCGGCCAGAGAGAAAGTCAGCCACCCATCTGCAAAGCCTCTCTGGGAGGTCATGGGATGGAAATTTGGATAAGAGGGCAGCGTGCCACAGCTGATTGAACGCTTTCGTGATATCAAGACCAAAAACATAAGCCTCACCGTAATACTGGATTAGCTTACTTTACAATTTCGTGACGTAAGCTAGGAGGTCCCCTGTGGATCGTTGGTGTCGGAAACCATACTGCCTGTTGCTACTCAAGTCGAGACGTTCGAGGTAGTCCAGAAACTCACGATTTATGCACCTCTCATCACCTTACTTATAACAGAAAGCAGGGCTATAGGCCTGTAGTTGTAAGGGTCGGTTTCAGATGTTTTTTTTGGGATGGGTTGGACATGAGCAAATTTACAGTTTTCTGGATTCATAAGATATCTGGAAGAGACGCGAAAGAACTGGAGCAAGCTCCGCTGCACACCTCTTCAGTACAATCAAGTTCGGACCAGAAGCTTTGTTGGGGGGCGTCCATGGTGGAGTTGGCAGCAAAGATTGGCACTTCAGTCTGGGCCTTCGAGTCAGTTACAATCATTCCATCCTGACACGTAAGTGTGGAAGGCTACTGTGTGACAAGTTCTTTTCAATCTGCTTGGCCAGCGTCCAAGCGTCCAGAAAGACCGACTGCCATTTGGCTGCGACATTACCTTGCCAAATCAGACATATCTTTCATCATTTTCAAAGAAATTGTACAAAATCTTCAAATTTGTGAAGTTAGCGAGTTTCACTTCATACGTTGTTACCAGATATGCCCAAATCATCAGTTGCTGCCGTGATATTCATCCCGACCACTGCATCCCTACGGCTAGGCGACCTGTATGTTAAATTTGTGTTGATAGGGCAGCAGGTTATGCTATAAATCATATGTCACAGTTTTTGTGCACTGATTGCAACGGTTAGATGATACCAAAAATATTTTCATAAATAGGAGATCTTTCCCATTCCGGATCGAACAATCCACCAAAGATGCTTATAATCATGATACCTAGTAAATTTACATGAAAAATCCTCTGTATGTAGGTATATAAGAGCTTTCTTATATTTGTTCATCATAATCAGTATAGTAAACTATGATGAAGGTCCACTGTATGTAAGAATTTTCAGATACTTCATTTACAATTTGACAACAGACCATGATGGTGTTCACATTTTTCAAATATTCTTCAAGAAGTGTTATCAGCGCCAGCTCCAACTATCATAAGTACTATCTTTGTATTCCTACTTTAAATTCAAAACCAGCAAATGTAAAAGATTTATGTCGCACCCTTCACCACGGGACGTGATCGTCGTTAGACTTGGCAACCCTGCGAGTGACAGATAGATAGCTGACCAGTGAAAAACGCAAACAATAAACATTAATAGTTTTTATGTTTTTTGGACTTCAAAGACATTATTTATGAGACATTTTTCATAATTTTTTGTCTATGTCCATAGTAATTGCATTATGCATCAGGGAGATGTAGGGATTGACACGTCTTACACATATTATCTATGTTATAGGATGGAGAGGACAATGTTTTTATTGCTTTGAAGAAATTCATTAACCCGTAAATTAATAAATGATGACTATTATGATGTATAGGAAGATGAGGAATTGGATGGAATGTATTTTATATTCTATTTTCTTGCAAAATACAGACAAATCCACACTATTCAA